TTTATGGTTTAGAACACTTCTCCTCCTTCTACCAGCTGACAGGTATCGAATAAGGAGTAAGAAAGGAATGAGGCAGGAGACGGGAGTGATAATCCATCTTGATGAATGACGGGTGGGAGACGCATCTCAGAGGTTCTCTCATCATCGCAGTGAACCGGCCTTCTATAAAACTATTCATGAACTGGTCACGCTTTCCAGCCACTACATCTCCGCAGCAATGTACTGACTTTTCTGTGAAGTAATTCACGCATCTACCTCGTTTCCGGTGCCTGGTTCTCAAGGTACAATAAAATTATTTTAGATATAATTGAACAACTTTCTTTTGAATTTTGAACAAAACTTTCGCCCTGGTGCCCCGGTAGCGTAACTGGTAGCGCACTTGCCCGGAAAGCGAGAGGTGCGGGTGAAAGTTGTTAGCGTAAAAGAGGTTTGTTTGTGTCTTGTTTTTGCTTAGGATAAATTAACACAAAGCTAAAATGTTTTTGAATCAGTTAGGTTTATTTAACATGTAATTAAATTTTTTTTATGAAAATAAAAAAGTTTATTTCTATTCAATGTAGTTGTAGAGAAATTGGACTTACCTTTTGTTCCGCCTCTTCGAATAGTTGACAGAAATAAAATGAGAGGCTAGTCATGATATTACGCAATGAATTTTATCATTGCTTATCATTCCCTACTGATGCAATTCTAGGTAAAAGGGGGGAGACATATGAGACAAATTAAATGTTTGCACGAAGAATCACTTTAGAGTTTGTCTCGCAAATAAAAAGAAATAAAAGAAAAAAGGAGCTGCCATAGGAAAAAGCAATCTTTCAAATATGCCATAGTCAAGGGATCTTTTCATTTTTGTGCTGAGCTCTATCTTATCCACTTGAAGATTTCATCTCACTTAACGTATAATGGGTTTTGCCATTAAGGAAATGAGCAGATACCAAGGTCGAATCCGTGTGCAAAAAAGCTTTTCCATGAGGATTGCTCTGTATTTAGACACCTAAGATTAAGATGATTAGATCTTGCGCCTTTGGTCCTAAATTCACATTATAAATTATTAGAGAGTATAGCTTCGCTTCAGATACTGTCTTCGTACCGTGGAATTGCTTGCGAAGCTGTTGTGAAAACGAAGGAATGTCTGGAGATCAGAGTGTGCTTCAAACCAGGGAAGATGGCCAGATTTATCCCATGGACAAAGGAGAACACATTCTGAAGTTTGAGGTAAAGAACCACGTAATACGAGAAGGATTTAAAAGAGATCTTTAAGTGGCAGGAAATTAAGTCTACCTAATTTCCTGCATAGATGGCTCTCCTAAAGAGGCAGAAAGGTCATGAACCGTGAAAAGCAGCAAAAAAGTAGCTTAATCTACTATATATTGGGTTGTCCCATAATTAGTGAATCACTTTGGAGCATTTTTCAATTTCATTTTTTTCTTTTCTCACATGAAGTGCTTGCTCATCTGAACATACACCTCTGTTACAAACTATTGCCTATACATGGGGATCTATGTAGTAGTCGTAGTAGTATTGCCTATACATGAGGATCTAGTAGTCTCTAGAATTCCAGGAGCTATTGATAGAAGAAAGATCGGAAGTCGGGTTTGAGGTCATGTCACTTAGCGTAAAATTTCTTCCTGAAGAAGAGCGCTAGAGGAGACTCAGACTAGGTTGCCTTTCGCTGGTACGAGGATAGTTCAACACGGCGGAGTGGAAGAACTGCTATCCTAAAGGTCTCCAATATTTATCCGCAAGGTGGAGTCGAAGGAACTCCGAAAAAGCCAGACTTTGACCTTACCTTCGGACTGAACGCGTCGCCATTGTGCTACCGACGTTTGTCATATTCTATAGTATTACTAAGCAGCGGTTCCCAGCCGAAGTCCCTCTTGTGCTCCACCAACATTCCAGAAGTGTCGGACATAGGGAAGGGTGGACTCTTGAGCGACTCCAGAGCTTACGGATCTTTTAACCATTGTTAACACTCAATGTGGATTTGTTAGCACACTCCACCCACTTCACAACACTGGTGAGTACGCAGGATGATCACTGAAAAGGAACTCTGGGAAACCAGAGGGAACATGGCGATTTCATATCGTGTTTGGGGAAGGTTCCAGAAAAAAAATTGAAATTTCAGCCTCGGAAGGCAACATGTGAATGGGCTGACTAATTGCTTAGGTAGGACATTGTGGGTACTACTTGGCAAAACATGTTTCACGCCTTCAAGATTTTTCTTGGAATTTTTCTCAGCAAATAATGTAAAGTGATTCACTAAATATAGACAACCTAATAGTTTTCAGGTAGTCATTGATGACAACCTCGCTCTGATTCTGTTTTCAAAAGTTAGGGAAGGAGCGAAGAGCTCTGTCTCTGAACCCTTAGCAAAACCAGGCAATCCTACACGGTAGCAAGGTCCTCATGCAGGATCAGCAGTCACGTTGTATTTCCAATTCTGTTTGAGGACAATCTCCGAACGATCTACAACCGTCATTGGTGGCGGTATTTCGATAGGCTTGCGATACACATTGACACACTTCTTCTCTTTTACATTTTCACACTCTCATTGGCCGAAATCCTCATAGCGTACTAATCCGTATATCATGGGTCAATCTCGGGCAGACGCCGCTTTCCATCTATTTATATTCATTATTGAAATATGGTTCCTTCCATCTATGTTTCAGTTAGTAGCAACAAATTTTGCACTAATCCTTGCGGGATAGCCAGACCCTCGTATCCTATCGGTGCGATTTGTCCCGTGAGCCGAGTTTCGGCCCAACAGATCTCGGAGCACGAGCACTTGGTGAAGCTTAAACTCCCACGGCAGGTCGTCTGAAATTTATAGGCAACATTCCTTCGTTGTGTGACGAGTCTTTCTGTCACTTCAAGTCCAACTTACAAAAATTCCTCTGAAATTGGCCTCGAGGTGGAAGTTATGTTACCTTCGGCTCCTGAAAGTCCTGTCGCAATCTCTCTATGCAATCTGTACACATCTCCATATATTTCAGCACATTTTGTTCCCCATAGTAGAAATAACACACACACATCGCTACAGGTGTTGCAACTCCTTATCTGAAGGGAACCTGAAGGCGACTCGATGGAGCTCGTGAACCGGAAGATCTAGAAGTCGGAGCTTCAAGTACAGTTTAGCCGATGCGGATCGTGACTGGAAAACATTTGATGCTAACAGTGGGACAAGATAATCAGCTCACTTAGAGACACAAAATAGTCTCGAATGCAAGATCACATGCCTTTGCAAAAGCACACTGTCAAGCACACCGAAGTTTTATGCTCTTGACCTTTCTGACTTATTGAGAAAAGCAACATTCAGCTTCTCTAGTAAATGGCGTATTAGGCGCTATGTTCAGAGCTCTGATCACAGTCGCCGCCTGCTTATTCGGCTCGCCAAACTTCGAGAATCTCAACTATGTGATGTGGTTCTGGTAGCCAAGGTAGTCGAAACGACATATCGGACGATTTTCCTTCTTATGTTGTAGATATCCTAGGGAACTCGAATCAATGCTCACAAAGTCGCACTCGCTGCATGTTCAAACTATTTTGAGGCCATGTTCACAAGCGACATGGCTGAAAGTCGCATGGGTATGTCTAAAATATATGATAGTAGCATATTGCCACAGCGATTTTTTCACAGACATTTTCAGCTATGGCATTCTATTACCGCAGAGCCAAGTTTTGAAGTGTTCTTCGTTCTGTATTTACATTCCAGAAGAAATAGAGATTGTGGACATGGAAGCTTCAACGTTGGAAACTCTCATTGATTACTGCTATTCTGGTAAGATAGTGATCAGTGACGTCAACGTCTCTAGTATTCTGCCCGCTGCATGCCTACTTCAGCTGGACGAAGTTCAGGCGGGTTCATAAAGATTTGCCTGGGTTGCTTCGCATTGCTGGTACCTTTGAGGCTTCGATACAGTTCTTTTATAGAAACAGTGCTGTGAGTTCCTGAAGAACGAATTGAATCTCTCAAACTGCTTGGCAATCCGAGTGCTTGCTTACACGTACTCTTGTCAAGAGCTTCTTTATAACGCTGACAAGTACATCTTGCATAATTTTCAGGTTATGGCTTACTTTTGGCTCAGCATTCAGACCTACATAAACTCTGCATTCAACTATTCTTTTCTTAGGACATTCTTGGCACTGAAGAGTTTCACCAACTCCCAGCTAACCAAGTAATTGAACTAATTTCAAGCGACGAGCTACGTGTACGATCAGAAGAGCAGGCATGTGGTCAAATTTCGTGATTAACATCGAACATTTGTTACGTCATATTCTTCATCACTCAGTTGAGCAAACAACTATCTGTTCTTTCAGGTATTTACAGCAGTGCTGCAATGGGTTAGATTCGACTTGCGAGATCGAAAGCAATTTCTTTTCAACGTAGGGTTATGGTTCTTCGTCAAAATATGATACATTTTTTCAGTAATGATCTTACAGCTGCTGGAGCATGTACGACTTCCATTCTGTAGCCCAAAATTTCTTGTCAGCACTGTCAGTGATAACGCGCTAGTGATGGAGAATCTCGATTGCCGTGACCTCGTCGACGAAGCAAAGGTTTATACGGTTCGACAGGGCGTCTTGCCGACTGATTTTTCTTCTGTTTTCTGTTTCAGAATTACCAACTTCTAAAACTCTCTTCACACAAAACACCGACCATGTTAGGACCACGTACTCGCCCGCGAAAAGTGAAGATTCACGAAGTCATATACGCAGGTATGCTTCTTTCGGTCCATACTTTTTGCTCAGATTATTCATTCACGATACGAGGTCCAAACAGCTGCAAATGATTTTGATGAGTAGACATGAGGTAAACGTTGGAGCAGTGGTTTAGCTCGCACCAAGACTGGCAACCCTTCCATTCGGCTGATGTTTCGGCGCTGTGGCTTTCTTTAAAGCCTGGAATTATGAAAGCCTTTCGTCGAAACTATCCGTCCAAACACTATTTAGGCATAATAAGAGATATTCATTTG